AGAAAAGTTTGGTTAATAGTTGAATTCAGAAAGGGAGGGCTAAAGCAGACAACATTACGAGTATTAGATGTTGTTTCCATGTTATTTCTGAGGTAGGTGTCAGGTATGTTCATAACCTGAAATCTGAAGCATCTCCAACTCCAAAATTTCCCTTTAACTTCAGATTTGACCCTCCCATTTCATACTTGTGACTGCAATTCTTGCCCAAAAATTGAAGATAAAGGTATAAAGGTTTCATATTGTGCTGCATAGGATTTGACAAAGCAAAAATGCACAAATAATTTATAAATCTCCATGTAGCAGTCTAGCTTTTTCTTACTTTTTTCCTACTGCACATCTAGTGACTTTTACTATTCTGACCTTGTGCTTGGCACTGCAGGACATTGCACTATAGGGGAAAAAAAATCTCTTTTTTCTTTCTTATTTTTTTTCCCTCTCTGGTCCTTCTCTATTGCAAATCCATGTTTTAAGGACTGGCAGCTGCTTCCAGGATGTAGTAGCAGATAGGCTTGGAGACATGGCCAGCATATCAGCATAGAGGAAATAGCCTGCTGCAATGGGTTTTTATTTGTAGGCTGATAGAATTAGGGGGGCTAGGAAGGAGCTGGTGTTTTGGTAATTCTAAAAATCGTTTGAACGACAATTAATTTAATCTGGAACAGGCCAGTGTTATTGGGAGGTTAAAAAGATCTGCCCATTTGAGTGTTTTTATCAATTCCTAGATGAGAAAGCAAGTTGAGCTGAGCTGGGTAAGGAGGTGACAGTTCCCTTCCCAGGCCCAGCGCTGCTGCTGGAGCTGGTGTCAGTCACAGCCCTCTGACTGGACAGCAGCTGAAGCCTGCAAGGCAATTGCTGCCTGCTGTTCTGGTCAGGTGTAGTACATTCTAAAAAGTGGGTCAGTGCTTGTATGCAGCCCAGCTCTGCATTAGAAATTAGTATTTTGTAAGGAGGCTTTAAATCTATTACAGGTGCATATATGCAAGGATTGCTATGCAGCCAAAATAAAGTTTTGCTATAGGAGTTTCTATAGTTTTAGGTATATGCCATTTGCTGATAAAAGGTCTAAGGTTCTTGTAGATATGTTGAATTGCTGGAACCCCTTCATTAAAAAAATGTGTTTAGAAAGCTGGAGCACAGGGAGTAGGTCCTTTAAAACTTATCTAGATAAGATTTTTGGAAGAAATAGAAGCTGTCTTTTTAAAAAAAGTAAATCTGTTGAAGCCCTACCTACATGTTTCCACTTACATCCTAATTTTCTTTGTATTGGCCTGAGTTAACTCTGCCCCCTACAGCATTCATCCTGTTGGTATAGAAAATGGAAAATTCTGTAGATTGCTTTAAGGAGTTCCTCTGAGTCTTGATAAGATGGGCAGCGAATTGAAGAAAATTGTAGCCTGAACCATGGTAAGGTAAAATCATATAATGATATGCATGACTTGCATCTATTGCTAATTATGTAAGTGTTATGTTTGTAATTTCAGTCATCCTTGCTGCTGTAGTCATCTGAGTATGGAAGCAAAGGGCCTTGACAGGAGCAGGTGTTTGGGTAATTCTGAAAATTGAGTGGAAGAGAAAGACAGCAGTTTAATCCAGCTCATACAGCCAATTGGAAATGCTTATCTACTACAGAACTGATTGAATTTTAATGAGTTGAATTATCTTTGAATTAAGTTGGTTGATATGATTGTGGTTTTTCGAACAAAATGGGGGGGGGGGGGTTTGCATAGATCTAACCTGGAAATAAACTGGAACCCAAAATCTGGAAAACAGCTCTTTACCCTTTTCAAATTAGATTAATAACCATGTATTCACTAGGAACTGACATTGTATTCTTAGCTTATTACTTTGCCTGAGTAAAATTTTTAGGAAAAGACAAAGATTTATAGTCATTAGATCACGTTTTCCCACTAGAAATCTTTCCGCTTGGGGTCAGCAAGCAAGAAAGGTTTAGCAAGCATAGCTTGTTTGCATGATTTTAACAGACTTTTTCCAGGCTTCTTTTTTTGCCTTATCTCTCTCATTCCTAGTAGGAATGAGAGTAGGACTGGGATAATAATAATGTTGGCAGTAGTAGTAGTAGAAAGCAGCACACCTACATGTCAAAGAGGGTGTTTGGAAAGAGGCGCAAACTCTCTCTTTATAGCCTAGAGACTAAAAGCAACTTTAGGACTCCATTATCTGGCTGTCCTGGATAGGCAGAAAGAAGTTCCTCTGGCAGTTGAGAAGGTCTCCTGGTAGTGTAGCTAGGAAAGGTAGGATAAATGAGCCCTACCAAATAGCTAACATATGTTTTAAAAAAATCTTAATCCAGTACGTATGGGGGAATGAGACAATGCCTTGTACTCAAGTACAGTGGCATATTGATTCTGTTGCAGTATTAAGGGAGCAAAGCAGGTGGCAACTGCAGAGTGACACTAATAACTTTTCTTTATTAATATTTGCAAGTAGAAAAACCAAGAAAGATCAAAAGGATAAAGAAAAGGTTGAAGTGCTTCATGTAGAGATACAATGTGAAAATTCTTATGCAAAAGCAGCATAAAGCAGGCTCTCCTGATTTATAGCACATGCAGTTTTTCTAAGAACGCTATATATATATGTATGTATATGTACACCTGTTGGGATATTATATAGTTGAAGAAACATAGAGGCTCTTTTGTTTTCCCTTCTTTTCCTTTCTTCTGACTGAATGTTTGCATTTATTCCAGTCCTTTGAGAGTAGGTGCATCTATGAGCATATAGAACTCCTAAATGGGCATCTGCAACTAAAGTTCAGTTCAGCACATCTCTAATCAAGTTATTCTCTGTGAGCTTAAAACTGCTGCAGCTGGGACATGCCATAGATTAAATCTCAGTGCCTTCCAGTGTGTCCTGCATGCAGCAGGACCACACATTCTTGATCCAGGTGTTTTGAGGCTGTATTGACAATCCTGGAAATACCTACATTTCCTAACCGAAGAAACTAGAAAGTTATTAGAAAGAAAACTGCAAGTCCTTTATACTGGTGAGTTAAAAGTATGTAATATTGACAGTTCTGGTTGTTGGTATTTTGTTACACTCTTTTTTGTAGTAGTATTTAGGTAAGGATTTTGAAATTGTCCTTCTAGTTTTAGAAGAAGATACTGTAATTTCTGCTACTGTTCAGTTTATTCTTCCAGTATTTCACAGAGATACTAGTATTACCTATTAATAATAATCCTCAATAATGAGTTGTGATGTGAGTTTTGCCTTTATCTTTAGAATTTTGACAGGAAAAAATTACTTATCTGTCTGGTTTCTGACCCATCTTTTGCAGTAATACACCTTAAGTCCAATCACAAGGATATTTTAAATTTGCCTTTTGATCAGATGGAAGTAGAGCTCACTGTAGATCAAGTGATTAGCTGAGGGCTCTTCTGTAATTTTCTCAGAAATTTGTCTGGTTGAACTTCTTTACCATTTAAAGGCTATTTTCAGTTAACTGCATTCAAGTGTAGACCTCTAGTTCAGCATCCCTTTATCAGAATAGCGACATCAGTGTAGTTCTGTAGCAGGGGAAAAAAAAAATCTGCAGATGCCGATGTATCAATTGTACATACTCATAGAGACACCTATTTCCAAAGGACTGGAATACATGCAAACACTTGTCTGATGACAAATATTGACTAGGAAAAACTAAAATGTTGTTCTGAGCTCCAGTAAATATTTCTTGATGCACAGTGTGAGAAAGTTTTCTTGTCTATGCCTAATATAGCTTTACAGAGTGTGTGGGAATTAGCGAGGTGGCTTTTCATAGTGTGAAAAAGGAAAGTCCTTTTTTCTGCTGAAACACGTTTGAGCTAAATAGCAACACACATCAACTTCTACTAAAAGAGGTGGCAGCGGACTATAGAAACCACCCTAGAAGGTCTTTTTATTTTATGAGAGAAATCCTAGATACCAGGGATCTACGAATGTGGGCATCCCAGCGACCCTGTCCATCGGGACCACTGAAGAGATTCGATTTCTGAGCTCTGGTGCTGGCTGAGCCGCTGCGGCGGCGGGGGCTTCCAGGCTGGACTCGGACCTGGACCGGAGCCGAACCGGGGCTTTCGCCGGCTGGTCAGGCGAGGTGCGCTCCTGGCTGCCCCGGCGAAAGGGCCGGCAGCTCGGTCTGGTTCCGCCCGAGAGAAGCGGGAGCCCCTGCCCAGGGAGGGAGGGGGCGCGGTGACGGCGAGGTGCTGCGGGAGAGGCCGGCGCGGTGGCCCCGGCGGCCGCAGCCCCGCATCCCCCGGCGGCCGCGGCGGGGCCGGGCGGGGCGGGGGGCACAGCCCACCCCGGGATGGGCCGGGCAGGGCAGCGGGCGGCGGCCCCGGGAGCCTCCGCCGTGGGCAGATCGGACAAAGGCTTCCAGGAGAGGGAGTGGCAAGCGGCCGCCCAGCCCTCGGCGGGCTGCGGGCGGGTCGGTGCCGCCGGGACGAGAGGAGAGCAGACGAGACAACTTCCCCAGGGGCACGGGGGACCCCAGGAGGGCGGCGGCAGCGGCTCCTGTCAAAGGAAGGGGCTCTCCCGTGCCGCTGGCTGCTCCCCCGAAGGTGGCGGCGGGGAGGGGAGGCGGGGGAGGAGCCGGGCTCATCCCCGGGCGGGCGGCGGCCCCTCCACTGCGCCAACCTGCAGGCGGGCTGGAGGCGGCAGCCCCGCCCGGCCTCGGCTGCCGGGGCCGCGCCGCCCCTCGCCTCCGTCCCGGGCAGAGCCGCAGGCAGCCGCTTCCCGCTGCGTCGGTCCTGGACTGCAGCTTCCTGGCGGCCAGGGCAACAAGCAGCGGCATCTTGGAGCGTCTTCTTTCCCGAGTGCCCCTTCATCTCTCCCAGCCCGCTCCTCTCTCGTACCTGCAGCCTTTCTTTCTCCCTCCACTCCTACCTTTTCTGCTTGTCTCCCCCTTCTCTTACCATTTTCTGGTTTTAAGGGGTTTTTTGATTTCCTTCTCTTTCTTCTTCCCCCATCCTGTTCCCTTTTGGACCATCTTCGTTTAGTACCTCTTCATTTCTTGATTTCTTCTGATTTTTTTCCTTTGGACTTTGCCTTGTCATGTCAAGATGGAAGTCAGGCATGACTGGCTCTCCTCATCCCCCCATGAGGGCTTCGAGCAGATGAGGCTGAAGAGCAGACCCAGGGAGCCTTCCCCAAGCCTCACCAGAGTAGGTGCGAACTTCTACAGCACTGTCAAGCAGCAGGACTACAGTGCCAGTGTCTGGCTGAGGAGGAAAGACAAACTGGAGCACGTAAGCCAGCTTCTTTTCCCCCCCACCCCACTTTTTTCTTTTTTTTTTTTTTTAATTTCTAGACCTCTGTCTAGGTACTCTGTTAGCCTGTCTGCCAGCTGGGACTCCAGAAGAAAAGTGTTACTCCAGTAGTTGGGCATGGCGTTTCCCAAATGATAGAGAAAGGAGCTATTTAGAGGTCCCATAGTGGTCAGATCTGAGGTAAATGGGATGTCAGTACTGTTCCAAACTACATGCAAATCTCCTTCTAACTGGAAATATTTTTTAATGTTCTTGGCTGATGCCTTCTTCTTCTACTTCAGCAAATTCAGCACTGATGTGGGAGGAGAAAGATTGGGATGGTGCAGATGGAGGTTAGAACATTTATCTCGTGGTGATTATAATGTAGTTCTAGAATAGCTTAAAAAATAGCTGGTGGTTGGTTTTTTTGTTTGTTTTTAATTTTAGATGTAATTTTCATTCTCCCCCTCCCCCATCTTTTTCTTCTCCATGCATGGGACTTTGAACATACTCTACCTATGTGGGGCAGAGATTTTCTTCAAGACTTTTCTTGCTGCAGCAGTAGTACATGACTTAACTGTGTTTGAGGCCACAATAGGACTGATACTGTGGATAGCTGTAGTGAATATTTTATGAGAATTTAAGGTGCTTCAAAGTGTTCCTGTCTCAGATGATGTTTGAAAGCATTCTTCATGTTACTTGTAACAGAAAGGAAATGGATTGAGATGACCTGCATGCTATGTAAGTTTCCTGAATAGCTTATTAGGTGAAATCCATTGTTAGAGTGTACTGTACAATCAAGGCAGGAAAGTACTGCATTTACAGAGATGCAAAAGAATGTGGATGGGCTTGCATAATGCAACAGTCTGCTATTCTTTACATTAGTGAGTAATTTGCAATCACAGTCACATTGACTTCAAGAGGCACAGGAAAATATTTCTTCTGGTACAGCCACCTCAAGACTCTTTGAATAGAAATGGTCTGATAAGAAGGATAAATTGTCTTTACTACATGAAAATCCTAGATGGCACAGTAGAGTCCTTTGAAGAGGAAACCTGAAAGAAGGTCCTTTACCAAGTAGTTCATAGACTGTAACCCCCCTTCCCCCTAACCTGCAGAGAGTATTTTATCCCTGTTAGTGAAACCTTAAACTTGAGTTGTTTATACTTCTGGGGAAATGACAAGAACTGATGATCTTTTGGAAAGATCACATTTCATATGTTGAGGAAGGTATTTAATTCTGTCTGCCTTTTAACACAATTTTGCCATTCTTCACACTGACAACAAGGCTTCAGTAGTAAGCTTGTAAGTGTTCTCCCATTGTCAATCAAGAATAAAGGTCAGTGCCTTATCTCAGTACAGCTAAAACATTGATAGCACAGAAATCTGAACTGTGTCTTTTGTAACAGATTTTGCTACATGTTGATATCTGTGATCAAATGAATAATTATTAATTGCAGGGGGGATTAATCTGTCAACAGTTTGGTAGCTGAATGGTCAGATACCTGTATATTAAACCTTATCACAATATTATCAGGAAGAAAGAAAATAAGCATTAACTTGTTTAAAGATTGAAAGTGCAAAACCTTTATTTCGTGTGTGGTTTTGTTGCTGTTTTTTTTTTTTTTTTTCCTTTGGTGGTTGTTATTCCTGTTGTTAAGTCAGTATTTTGTCACAATAGTTGTTTTCAATGTCCCTGCAGCATTTGTGTGAAAAGCTTTCTCTGTAATGCATGTTCTTCTGGGGGTTTCCCTCTCATTTGATGCAGTTATTTTTACTCCCACAGTCTATTTGAACACTGCAAAGAGAAAAAAATTGGAGCACTGATGTCCCTTCCTTGCCATAAAATATTTATTTAATTTACATTTATTGTGTCTACCCCAAAGGACACTGATATGCTAACAGCAGATACATGAAAATACTTTTTTTATGGTTTAAGGCAACTGCATTTTTATGATTTAAGGCAACACTTATGAGTGTTGTAACAGACAGGCTATTGCATGAATATAAATAAAATGTCTATTTATTTATAAATTCTATTTTGCTTATACTGTTTTAGAGCAAGTTTGTTATTTTTTGTTTTCAGATGAATTTTTGAGGGTTTTGAGTGTTCTCTTGCTAGAGAAGTTATTTCCTACACTCCACTCTTCCACTCCAAGAGACAAACCAATTACTTTGAGATGCATCATTTTGAATGGGATAGTCATTGACATATGATCACTTATGGCCAATAATGAAGATATTTATATCCTCCATCCACCTCACAAAGTTTGCACAACATTTCATTACAGCTCCCTCTGAGATAATCATGTTACTTGAAAGCTGCAAAGAAAATCAAAATCCAAAGAGTGAGCATTCATGGAGGCACTGAATTTAAAAGTATGTAATCCCAACCTTGATGCTGTACAATGACAGGCTAGGCAGAAGAGGGGTATATAGTAAGTCAAGGTACCCATGAACACATTTTGAAGTCTCATATGTACTCTTTCAGCATTGTGGAGGGCATTGAGTTTTGTTTCATTGAAATGATTTCTTAAATTGATTTGAGTTGTAACAGGGATGAAACTGGGCCAGCATATTTTGTTCATTACTCACAGTAAGACCTTGTAGGCCACAGTACGTATTTTATACTGACTTTTTGTTCAAGTGAATAGCCTAACTTAATCACATGCAATGCTTACTAATCCACATACAGTTTGATGGGTTAAAAAACATATTCTGAAGCCAATTTGTATCAAATTGTTTATGTAAAAAGATTCTCAAATATAGAAACAGTTTGTTTCTAGATCTCAAAACTGTAGCAAAGTTGTGGGTTTTGCTCTTGTGGTTTTTGGTTTGTTTTAGGCTTTTTTGTATACAGATGTAAATTTGAGGACTGTGGTAAAGAGGTTCAAGAGTGTGGTAAAGAGGTTCAAAATTCAACTACTTTACCTCTTCTGAAAGCACAGAACAAGTTCAGATGCACAAATATGATCATGTTTCTTTAAAACTGATCAATATTTAATTATTGACTGACCATAGAGGAAGTAAAAATCTGTAACATCCTGCTGGTGTCTTGCTAATTAATTGTTCTTCGAATGGACCTTAATGTAGTGTGGCTCATTGCCTAGCTGTTTTTATAGAACTTTCTTTATCCAAGTAGCAGCAACACAGCTTGTACTATAAAAGATCTGAACATAGCCCACCTCTGTTCTTTCGTGAACTCAGATGCTGTATTTAAGACTAAATGAATTTGCTGTAACATGTTTGAAGGCCCAATGAGGAGTTTTTGCTGAGTGAGGCCTCAGGGTACATGCATGCTGTTCCCAGTGTGCTGAAGAGGCATACTGTTAATGGAGGAATTTGCAAGAGATTGAGGAACTCCAACACTGTAGATGTGACCACAGTGATGTTGCAAACATTTGCCTGAAATCCCTGCAGAGCTGAAATTTTTCAGATTCTATGTATTTGCTTCAACTAGTTCTTTGTGCCTCTTTGTGAAATTGTTTGCCTGGTATTGGAGTGTTGGACAGAAAACGGATGAGTGAAATATTCTTAAATTCTTCTTTGCATAGTGGTTTTTTAATTTTTTTTTGTTTCTTTCTCTTTGTCTGGTCTTGCCTTATTTAATTAAATGTGAATTCATTAAGATAAAAAGGAGGAGGTAGGGATTGGGGAAAAGTAGATAATGTGGTAAACTTCAGCTGTTAGGAGTTACTGGGTCTGGTTTAATTTGCAGCAGCTCTCCATCATGTGTCTGCATCCCACAGTCATGATGGTTATTGAATAGCTGCTTTCCTGGTGCCTCAGCAAAGAATTCTAGAGAACTTAATTTTAAGTAATAAAAACTTCAAAACTGAACAGATTTCTTTCTAAGCTACAAGAGATATGCTTCAAGCATATATTTGTTTTTGAAAAATACATTTATTTTTTCTCAAGGATGTAGTGGTAGTCTTTCTCTAATAACATCTAAATTTAATTATTTGCTTAATTATTAAAAGATTTTTTAAAATCTCTTTTAAGAAACTGGTTCAAAACTAAATTTTGGGGAGACCTGTCATCAGGACAGTGTTAATTCCTGGCAATCCTCAGTCTGTTATTTTTGAAGAATCATAATTAGGAGAAGTTATTGACAATTATTGCATCATTTTTTGGGGTTTTTTTACTGAAGATCTGATCAGCAGCAAGGGCAATGCTGGGATTTTCTGATTCTAAGTGCTCTTGCTGTTATTTGACCAGTTGATGTTGTTGCTCAGCACACTGCTGTGCCTTGGCAGCATTGCTACCCAGGGAGAAGAGTGGCCATGAGGTACAGGGATAGCATGAGGTTCAGGGATGTCACTTGGTAGCAGAGGCAGATATCTAATATGCAACTGTTAGGCTTAAGACAGTTTACAAAAGTGCCTGACAAGCATGACCAGAATATTTCTCAGAGCTGCATGAGCAGATCATAAATAAAATATATCTTTAATTCACCTGTCATAATACATCTCTAAAAGTTGAAATTCCAAATCCCATTTTGCCAGTTCATTTTTATTATTCAAAAATTAGTAAGTCTGTTAGGCAGCTTTTGTTTTTCTCTTCTTTTTTTATGATGCTGGAAATTCTTAACAAAATCATTGTTGGACAGTTTCCAAGTGCACTTCTACTCTTGCATTAAAATTAACAGTAATGTTAAGAGTCATAAGACAGATTTGTAATCTCCAGAAGGATGACAGGAAGACACTATGTGCATAGCTATAGCCTGCAACACCTAAACAAAAAGGTGGACATAGTTTGATGTAAAGCACGTTGCAGGAGTAGAACCCAGTGAAGCCAAATCAGTTGCCGGACAGTGGCAATGGCTTCAGTTTAAGGAAGAATAATGCAAGGACATAAATCAGAATTCAAAAAACATTCCCATATTCCCAAAACAGCCCTAGTCTTGAAATAAATGCAAACAAATGTCTTCTTCTGTGAGTTCATAGAATCACAGACTATCCTGATTTGGAAGAAATTCACAGGAATCATCTACAGGTCCA